AATTGTAGACTTTTGGTTACTAAATTTTTTTAGTTGCCAAAAAGCTTTACTTTGGGCTACTAAAAATTTTTTAGTCACTAAAACCCATATAATCAGTGACCAAACTTATTTTTAGTCGCCAATTGTAGACTTTTGGCTATTAAAATTGTTTAGTCGCCAAAAAGCTTTACTTTTGGCAACTAATGCTGTTTTGGTCGCTGAAAGCTATACTTTCAGCGACCAAATTTTTTTGGTCAGGAAATTTAGTCGCCGAATATGCTTTTTCCTGTAGTGTATATTGAGTTTAATTCATTTATTTTTAATCATTTACTGCATTTTAAAAATTTAGAAAATATATTGGCATTTTTTGTTTTTTCAAAAATGTCATTATAAGCTTGGAAAGTTTTTGACTTAGTGGCATTTCTCAAAATGCTATAAAATATTTGTTTATGAAACTTTTCCCCTAAGTGCCATAAAAAGTAATTTGCACCTACCTAGTATCCTGATATTTTTTTAAAAATGCCATTACTACTAAAGTTTAGTGGCATCTGTTGGTAAATGTCACGAATATTATTTTTGTGGCATTTTTTAAAAACATGTCACTAGTATAGTGTCACTAAAGTGTGTTTTTGTTATAGTTTTGTGACACTTGTTCATTGAAATGTCACTAGAGCCTTTTATGTTTGTCGTTTTGTGGCATTTTTAAAAAACGTGCCACTAAATATCATTTTTGTGGCATTTTCTAAAAATATGCCACTAGTGTAGTGCCACTAAAGTATGTTTTTGTTGTAGTTTTGTGACATCTGTTCATTGAAATGTCACTAGAGCCTTTTATGTTTGTCGTTTTGTGGCATTTTTCAAAAACGTGCCACTAAATATCATTTTTTGTGGCATTTTCTAAAAATATGCCACTAGTGTAGTGCCACTAAAGTATGTTTTTGTTGTAGTGACATTTTCTATTTTTTCGCTTTTCTCTCTTACTTTTTCTTTTTCTCACCCATCCTTCTATAATCTCATGATCCTAGCTTCCTCTTTCTTTTATTTTTATTTTTTTATTTTCTCCGATTTCTATCTTTCTCTTTATTTTTTTATTTTCTCCTTTTTGTTCACTTATTTTTTATTCATATTATATGAAAAAGTTTGCGATACCAGAATTAGGAGCCAGATTTTACTGTGTGTATTGGAGATTAAATTAATGAATTTTGTAGTCCACAAATTAAATGAATTTGAACAATTAATTATTATTTTTAAATATATTGAATACTTGATAGTTTTCATAAATTTAGATATCATATGAATCTTCAACATCTATATAATAAAGTAGGACTGTTTTTGAATTTGTCCTACTAGAACATTTGGATGGCTCGAATCTATTCAAATTATAAAGTAACAACTGAGATATATTTTTCAAAAAATATCTTACATGAACATTTTCTATTTTCCCGCTTCACTCTCTTACTTTTTCCTTTTCCCACCAATCCTTCTATGATCTGATGATCCCACATTTCTCTCTCTTTTCTTTTTATTTTTTTTATTTTCTCCCATTTATATTTTCTCTCTATTTTTTATTTTTATTTTCTCCTTTTAATTCACTTATTTTTTATTCATATTATATGAAAAAGTCTGCGATCCCAGAATTAGGGTCAAGATTTTAGTGTGTGTAGTGGAGATTAAATTAATGAATTTTATAGTTCACAAATTAAATGAATTTGAACAATTAATTATTATTTTTAAATATATTGAATACATGATAAATTTCATAAATTTAGATCCCATATGAATCTTCAACATATTTTAATAAAGCAGAACGATTTTTTAATCTTCAACATATTTTTGTCATACTAGGACATTTGGATGGCTTATATCTGTATAAATTATAAAACAATGGCTGAGATATGTTTTTTAAAAAATTCTCCTACATGTACATTTTCAAATTTCCCACTTCTCTCTCTTATTTTTTCCTTTTGTCACCCATCCCACCATGATTCCATGATCCCACCTTCCTCCATCTTTTCATTTTATTTTTTTATTTTCTGCCATTTTTGTTTTTCTCTCTATTTGTTTATTTGTTTATTTTTTTCTTTTTATTCAATATATTTTACACATATTTCCATATAATGTAAGTATGCCCGAAACACACTAGGACATTACGGGCATATATACAATTTTCATATAATTATATATGCAAATGCATTATTGTGTGTATGTCCGTGGAAATTGTATGTATGCCAGGCACATCTATCTATTTAACTATATATTGTATAAGCAAAAACGAGTTTTTGTAAGGAGTTTTATGAGAACTCCAAAATTTTATAATAAATTTGTGAATTTATCAAATTAAAAAATAAATTTAAATAGTATTGTGATTACAATTATATTATAATCCTAACATTATTTATACTGTGCCTTCAGGTACGGGCATATGCTAGTATATAAATGAGAAAGAAAGAAAGAATAAAAAAAATAGTTAGAAAATATCAAAAAAAAGTTCAAAATTTTTAATTTTATCAACTCGGCCAGTTCACCTGACCGGTCCCCAAGTCAATCGGTTGGGTCGTCCAACCACCGATTTTTCTGGTTCTCTCTAAATAGGTCAGTTTTTGGATTGAAATGGTTTAGAAAGTATATTCGAACTGAAACTCTGACCAGTCGATGGTCGAACTAGCTTGTACGATCCAATTTTTAAAACCTTGCCCACAAAGATTCTTATTCATTTGTAAATCTCTATCTCATTTTCATTGTCATATATTTTCCTTTTCCTTTTTGTATAGCATGCATTTTTACAAATATATATATATATATATATATGGAACCTACATATTTGAAGGATGTTATCTGGACCGTGGGCTAACTATAAGTTTCATTTCGAAAATTTAAACTATTCATTTAAAAGTATTATGTGTATATTATTCTTTAAAAAAAATAGATTGATCCGAATGGTTCAGTTGCAAGTGATGAAATCGTCGACTCAAGGTGTTAAAATTGAGGATTAATTATACTTTTCACACTTATAATTTGATTCAAATTTCAATTTAGTTATGAATAATGATATATGTATCAATTGATAAACTAATTAGTGTACTAACAGATAATGTGACATAGTTTTAGAAGTTTTTGAGTATTTGTAATTTGTATAGTGGGTGAGGTCATAATTTTGAAATAATAATGTTATAACATACGTTGGTATACTAATTAGTATACCAAATGGTACATGTGACACCACCGTTTAGTTGTTGTAGTTTCAAATTGATTAGTATGATCCTTACAATTTAAAATCTAGTTTTAGTTGGGAACTTTCGTTCAATTTCAAGGTTGAAATTAATAATTTTAAAATATTTGTCAATATCTTAAAATATATACGTAAAACATTAACGAATTTGGATGAAAACAAAATTGAAATTGATTTAAAATGCATAGACTAAATTATTGAATTTAAAATTATAGAGAACATAGGAAAATTTGAATTAAAATATACAAATAAATAATGTAATTAACTCTAAAATTTATAAGATTTCTCTTTTTCATACGAAACCGTTGGAAGTTGTAATAATTTCTTCAACCATGGTTTTTCGGATTCATAAAAAAATGTGTACATTCAAAATCTTCTTAACTATCCCCCTCAACTTCACGCTACGTTAGAAACCTCTATAAAACCCCTCAAACTCATTCCATTTCTCGACAAAATATATCTTTTTTAGTATCACTTCTAGTGCGTGCATGTCAAGGATGTCTGTTCAAGTCCTCTTTATTGTGCCTCTTGTCGCTTTTGTTTGCACCGCTAGTGCCAGGAAGCTCACAAGCGAAAAGGGTTCATTTCAAGATCAGAAAGAGTTTGGTGTCGGCGCTGGATTTGGTGGTGGCATCAGTGGAAGTGTCGGTGGTGGCGCTGCCATTGGTGGTGGCAGTGGAGTGGGTGGAGGTGGACAAGGTGGCGGCGGAAGTGAGGGTGGTTTTGGAGGAGCGCCTGGACTTAGTTGCGGACTTGGAGGTGGTGGTGGATTGCCTTGAGCTCATAACCTAGGTCCTGCTTTAATAACATGCCATGTTGGTGTAATGGATTGAATTATCTCTAACTCTATTTATCTATGTATGGTGTGATTCTACTCTTAATGCCTGATAAGAACAATTATATTCCATTTGATATCTTTTTTAAAATTCCACTAAAATAAAGGTATTTGTAATTCTCTTTAACCAAATGAAGTCCAAAAGAAAAAAAAAATAAAGTCAAATTAAGTTGTGCATGTCACTCAAATAGGATCAATTACATAATTTTTTTTCTCTTTATTTTACTCTTTCAAAAACATGTGTATTTCTCTTTAACAAAGAAAAATATACAAATCATACAATGCTAAATGGTAGATATACAAACACGAACCCGAGAAAATTAGGATTGAGTAAAGAATTCGTAAAATTTGCAAATCAAACCGGTTAAGCCCAATCCGGTAGGTTTAGTTTGGTTTTTTTAATTCATGGTTTGGTTCTGGATTAAAAACTTAAGGAATCGTTCTTCGTGGATTAGTTCTGGATTTCAGTTCACGGTTCCAGATTAGAATCGATTCAGACCGTACGTAACTTAAACCATATACATGTACCATACACCCTTTATGCATACCATGAAATTGTTTTTGTGAAGCAGTGCTGTTTTTATTCTTGTTGGTTTTTTTATTTTATTTTTGTAATTGTTGTTGCCACAAACAATGTTTGTTTGATGAGAGTTCTTGTGCTTGCTATATGTTTAACATATATTTCGTAGATATTATGTTTGTTTAACTTAATGGTAGAACAATGTGCATGTTTATGTTTCGAAAAATCAAGGGCAAATTAATGTTGAAATGAAAATGTTATATAATTTTTCTTTGTGAATAGATTATGTGAAACTGTGATTCCAAACTGAGTCAAACCGTGTTTAAATAATTTGGTTTGGATTAGTTTCATGATTTAAATAGATTAGTTTGATTACAATTTTTATGAAAGCATAAACAACAAATTAATTCTCATTTTATGACAAACCAAATCAATACATACCATACTCACCCCGTAGAGCAAATGAGCAAATGGGACAAATTAGGTGGGAGAGATATGGTTGAATTGACACAGATTCTGACCTTTAACATTGAAAGCTAAAATGAATTTGCGTGATATAAATCCTTTCAATTATGGAATGAAAATGTCAAATATATATGCCAAGACAACTAATTGGATGGGATACAGTTTTGTGTAAAATTAATTAAAGCAACCAAATCACCATCCAGCTGAAAGATTTTCTTGGCTTAATGATAAAACTGTCAATCAACCAGAGATTATTTAGTGTTTGGTTTGGGAATATCCTACAAAAATTAAAAAGTTCAAAAATTAAAAAATCATATAGAAAAAATAAAAAATTTTCATTGAATGAAACATCAATAAATCCTAAAATATGATATTGTGAACTGTTTAGTTCTCTATTTTTTCTTATGAACTCTAAAAACAAACTCAAATCCCGTCTATTTCTTTTCCAATACTTAATCATAGCTACAACATAGTATATATATACAAGGCAACAACTTGCCTAACAACTTGTAACTAACTATAACAAAATATTTAAACAAATATCTAATAGCTAACTAATATCTAACTAATAGCTAGAGGTGTTGAGATCGAATATGATGGTGTTGATGACATAGAGTGCAACAACATAAGCTGGTGATCCAGTTGTATATCCTGCTGCTGTTGTATATCTTTATCAGGCCCCTGCAAGCTGATGGAGGGCTGAAACTCCATAAGCTTGTCTTTAAGATAGAGAAACCGAGTCATTGGTAAAGGCTTTGTAAATATGTTAGCAAGTTGATCAATGGTAAGAATGTATTGCAAAAAGAGTCTCTTGGCAAGGACTTGGTCGCGGACAAAATGGCAATCAACCTCGATATGTTTAGACCTCGAGTGAAACACTGGATTGGAGGCTAAAACAATAGTGGAAACATTATCACACCATAAAATAGGAATGGTGGGAGGAATGACGGACAAATCAGTGAGAAGTATGCTGAGCCAAGAGAGTTCAGCTGCAGTATGAGCTAAAGACCGATACTCAGCTTCGGTAAAAGATCGAGAAACAGTGGGCTGTTTCTTTGCAGACCAAGAGATGAGATTAGAGCCTAAGAAAACACAGTAGCTAGAGATAGATTTGTGATCAGAGGAATCACTAGCCCAATTAGAGTCAGAGAAGGCATGAATATCAAAAGAGCTGGGTGTGTATGAGAGACCATGAGAGAGGGTGCCTTTGATAAATTGAAGTAACCTCTTTATAGTAGAAAAATGACTCACAGTAAGAGCATGCATATATTGACACAATTGATTGACAGTAAAAGCAATGTCAGGTCGGGTGATGGTTAAGTACTGCAAAGCCCTAACTATATTCCGATAAAGAGAAGGATTGTCAAACAATTCAATAGAAGAACTAGTAAGACTAGGCTTGACAGACATAGGAGAAGAACATGGCTTGCACTCAGAGAGCCCAACTCGCACAAGAATGTTATGAGTATACTTTTGTTGAGAAAGAGTATAACCAACACCAGTAGACTGAATGGAAATTCCCAAGAAATAGGACACAAGACCCAACTCTTTCATAGAGAATGCTTCATGCATATGAGCAACAAGAGACTTAATATGAGCATCATTATTCCCTGTGAGCAAAATGTCATCAACATAGACTAGAAGAACTGTGATAGTGCTAGCAGTCTTCTAAATGAAAATAGAAGAATCACATTTACTATTCTGAAATCCTTGAGAAACAAGAAAGGCAGAGAATGTAGAGTACCAAGCTCTAGGAGCCTGTTTGAGCCCATACAATACTTTGTGCAGTTTGCAGACATGAGTGGACTGAGTAGGATGAACAAAGCCAAGAGGTTGTAACATATAAACCTCTTCCTCAAGAACTCCATGGAGAAAAGCATTAGATATGTCAAGCTGCTTGATAGACCAATTGTGATGAAAAGCAAGACAAAGAAAGATCCAAATTGTAGGCAATTTTGCAATAGGACTAAATGTCTCTTGATAATCAATAACCTCCTGTTGAAGGCATCCCTTAGCAACCAATCGAGCTTTGTGTCTTGTGATGGTTCCATCAGAATTTTTTTTGACCTCAAATACCCATTTATATCTAATAGCAGTTTTCCCAGATGGTAAGGGAACAAGAGTCCAGGTATGCTGTTTATGAAGAGCATAAAGTTCTTCTGTCGTGGCCTGATGCCATATGGGAGCAAGCAAAGCCTCTTTGTGAGATGGAGGCTCAGTGTCAGCAAAAGAGGGAAGTGAGGTAGAGGTGGAAGCAACTAGTGCAACAACTTTAGACCTGGTGCTCGTAGAATGAGCATTGGAAGAAGGAATGAGAGGAATGGTGGATTTCAAAATAGGTAAGTGGATGGAAATAGACTGGATTGGAATAGGAGGAGCAAGAGGAGAAGAGAGTAGAGGAAGAGAAGAAGCTATAGGAGATAATGAGGCTGATGTTGATAGAGTAGGAGCAATAGGAGAGAGAGAAGAAGAATGAGAAATTAAAGAAGAAACAGTAGGAGGGGAAATAGTAGACCAAAAAAAAGATTGAAGACAAGACAAATTATCAGAGGAAGAAGAAGTGGCAGAGGGCTTGAAAGCAAAAGGAAACACTTGTTCATTGAAGACCACATGTCTAGACAAATAAACCTTTCCAGATAGAGGATCCAAGCATCTGTAACCTTTAGCAAAGGAATGATAACCCAAAAACACAAGGAACATATTTAGGCTGTAATTTGTGAGAGCTATAAGGTCGAAGCCATGGAAAACATTGGCAACGAAACACTCTAAGCAAAGAAAAATCTAAAAGAGTTTGAAACAAAATTTCATATGGGGTTTTATGAACTAGCTGAGAGAAAGGTAACCTATTGATCAAGAAAGTGGCACCGACAATAGCTTAAAACCAAAAGTGTAGAGGAACAAAAGAATGATGCATTAAATCAATTGCCATTTCAGTAAGATGTTTGTGCTTTCTCTCAGCCACACCATTTTGTGGTGGTGTATAAGGACATGAATGCTGATGAACAATCCCTTGTGTAGATAACAAATCTTTCATTTTATTATTCATAAATTCTTTCCCTCCATCAGTGCGAAGAATCTTGAGATGAGTACAAAATTGTTTCTCAGCATATGCCTTAAACTCCAGAAATTTATTATAAACTTCACTCTTGTAGGTTAAGAGATACAACCAGGTAAACCTACTAAAATCATCCACAAAAAGCACATAATACTTGTAAGAGGAAGAAGACTCAAAAAGGTCCCTATACATCACTGTGAATCAAAGACACAGGTTTATTAACAGTAGAATTAGAAAGATGAAATGGAAGTCTGTGACTCTTAGCCACAGAACAATCTATACAATCTAATGATTTGTGCTTTGAAAGCTTAACACCTAAAAGATGTGTGAGATGGTGCGATTTCAATGGAGAAGGATGGCCTAATCTATGGTGCCAAAGAGAACTGAAAGTAGTGGAAGCAGAAAATGCAGTTGGTGTAGCTGAAGTAATGCGTGCGTGTGGTGAAGCAATATGAGAAGCAGAAGCAGCAAGAGGCAAACAATGATAGAGGCCATGAATGTTAGTGCCCTTGTGAAGCACTTTCTTCGTAATTTTGTCCTGAATTACAAAACCATGATCATCAAGAATAACAACACAGTTATTATCTCAGTCTAATTTCTGAATAGAAATAAGATTGGAAGACATGAAAGTAGAGTGTAAAACATTTTGTAATCGAAAAGAATGATGAGGTGTGGGTAAGAGACCATTACCAGTACGATGGATGAGAATAGAGTTACCATTACCAATGGTAATTTGTTCTGAACCATGATATGGTTGATAGCAGTTGAGTGTGTTTAGATCATTAGTGATATGATCTGTTGCAGTTGAGTCAAGATACCAAGGTACTTGAGATGAGGAAGATGAAGAAAGCACTGATGTAGATGTGATAGTAACTACAAATGCTCTTGGTTACTGAGAGTAAGT